GCCTTATGTAATCTTAAGCATACTGGTCAGAAACACTGTAGTGCTGTTAACTTAAACTTGACTGTGTTCATTTCTATAGTAAGCAACAACTACCATAGACAAGAGGCTGACTAGTGTAATGTAATGTGTTCACCAGCGCTAATAGCATATCTGCAGTTTGTGATCTGGATGGAGGGGAGGAGGAAGACAGCTCTTTCAGTCTGTATATTTTCAATATTTCTTGTTAGCCACGCCCTGGAGTCATATACTGCCCTTCCCTACCACATGCGGAGCCCCTGCCCTTCGAATCCCATCGCTCGGCCGGCGTACCAGGGCAGCAACCCCATCAGTGACATCTGGGCAGTCCATGCGCTGAGGATTGTTGCTAAATATCTGAAGAGGTATGTAACCCCGAAGGGGATAGAAACAGAAAAGAAAATCACATTCTTCCCTCACATGAAACATGGCATGCCCAATCCTGAAATATCCTGAGCAGGTCTGTTCACCAGAACGTCAGTCAGTGGATAGAGAGAAGCACCAGACACCAGCAGTCTCTGCAGGGACCCATCAGATGGGCAGATGAAAACTGGATCCTTCAGCTGAGGAGGCAAAATCTGCCAGGGGACAAAATAGGAGCCCCTAGTTTATGAAGGAGGCAGATAGAAGAAATAGAGGTTTGCTCATCAAAACCTCAAAACCAAAGCTAGGATGAGGGGAATGCCCTGTGAGATTTGGCTAGCCAGGGCGGGAATCGGAACCACACAGGCAGATATGGGCTGTGCCCAAGCAGGCCCTGCCCAGAGGCACATGGGATCCCCCCTGGAGCAAAATCACATGAACTGAATTTTAAAAATAAACGTGTAGAGCTTGCTGTCCCAGGAGATGTAAAAGGCAGAAAATGTAAAAGGATTCCTTCAAGATTTTGAGAAATTTGAATATAAATGCATACATACACGCATTCCTAGCCATAGGCTATGAGAGAGCCATAGGCTATGAGAGAGCATAGAGATGAAAGCCGATACCTGAGACACTGAGACACAGGCAAAGTGAGACTTGCTTTTTTATTTCTGCATAAAGGCCACAGTAGGTTAGGCCTAGACACCAACATGGTAGAGCCAGAAGCTGCACTGGAGAGGGGACCTTGGAATTGCATTTTGTGCTGGAGCAGGAGGAGGGGACCCAGAACTGTTTCAGGCTCATGGGAGACTCCCAGTGAAGCACAGCAGTATTTGACACAGATAATAGGAGCCAGTTGGCTTGCTAGGGACCGAACAACTTGGCAGAGCCACAGTGGCAGGAGAGGGAGTGAGACGGGCCAGAGGAAGGGCTGAAAGTCCTGTCATCTGCTACATCACCTTGTTTCTCAGGGAGGAAGGCTCTACTATTGACTTCTGGAAAGGACGCACAAACACATACCCATTCCAGATAAAAGGAGAAATAAGGCCAAGGTGCTTTTGTTTCATAACAGGAACCCTTACTCAAGGCAAAATCGTGAAAACCCAAGTGAAAGTGGGTTCGCTGGGCAGTCTTCAGGGGCCTCACCGGGGCAGGGTTTCCAGGCAGGGTGTGCAGGAAGGCTGAGCCCGATCTCGAAGGGCCTTCGAGAATTTGCTTTTGTGAACTGGCAGTACGGACACACGGAGCAAGCCAAGGCTCATCCTACATTAACATCCGATTTCCACAATAATATTAGAATAGGTGTACAGTTTCCACCTATTCTATTCTCAAAAGAGAATGGGTCTGATTTGGGTCAGTGTCACAGAGAGAAAGATGGCTGGCCAGGCTGGGTCTGGTGTGCAGGTAGCCCCAGGCGACTGGGCTGCCTTTAGCCGCCAGTCTGGTGCATTCTGAGAATGTTTACTCTATGTGCAGTCATAGCTGCCAGCAGCATCACTGACAAGTGAGGAAGAAGAATGCGTCTCAGGGCAATTTCCTAGAACAGCTCTACTACTGATCCAGGAGTCGGTGCTTTGTGTCCAACACACATGAGCAGCCTGACAGTTTATTTATTATGCCTTTGCTGAAATCATTGATGAGAAAATATGTTTCCCTTCGGTTTCCATTTAGAGGACAAGGCGTCATTTGAATAACTTGCCTAATTTTTCTTCCTACCAAGTAGCACTTCTTTTTTTTCCAGATCTTTCCCTAAGGTGGTTCTTTACTCAGCAGGAAGTGCCAATGTTGATGTGTTATTGTTAGGTATTTATATCATTCCCAGGGCTGTCAGAAATCCTGATGATGTTGAAGCAAGGTCTCAGATGCACTTGGCAAGTGCTTTTGCTGGCATTGGATTTGGAAATGCTGGTGTTCATCTGTGGTGAGCGAATTTGAGATTTTATTTCTTTACCCAAGCTATTGCTTTTAAATTTTAAAATGTTTATAATTCAGGACAGGTGGTCAAATTTAAACATGCTATAGAAGGAAGAAATTTAACTTAAGGTTCCTAAATATTTTCTTAATTTGAATGTAATTTATTGGGTTATGGACTTTTTATAATAGCTTTTTAAGACATAATTCACACACTATACAATTTACCTACTTAAAATGTGCAATTCAGTGGTTTTAGTATACTTGAATACACAAAATTATGCAGCCATCACCACTATCAATTTAGAACATTTTAGCTCCCAAAAAGAAATCCCATACTTCTTCTTAGCTATCCCCCACCAGTCTCCCTACCTCCTCCAGTACTAAGCAACTACTAATTTACTTTCTGGCTCTATAGATTTCCCCATTCTGGACATTTCATATAAATGGAATTATAGAATATGTGGTCTTTTGTGTCTGGCTTGTTTTATTTAGCATAATGTATCCAAGGTTTATACATGTATCAGTACTTCATTCTTTTTTATTGCCAAATAACATCCCATTGTATGGATATACCACATTTTACTTATTCATTCATCAGTTGATGAACTTTTGGGCTATTATGAATAATGTTGCTGTGAACATTGATGTACAAGTTTTTGTGTGACATGTTTTCATTTCTCTTATTATATACATAAGAGTGGAATGCTGGGTCATATGGTAATTCTGTGTTTAAATTTTGAGAAACTAGGGCTGGCCCGTGCTCATTTGGGAGAGTGTGGTGCTGATAACACCAAGGCCACAGGTTCAGATACCTATATAGGGATGGCCGGTTAGCTCACATGGGAGAGCATGGTGCTGACAACACCATGTCAAGGGTTAAGATCCCCTTACCGGTCATCTTTTAAAAAAATTTTTTAAATAAATAAATTTTGAGAAACTGCCAAACTATTTTCCACAGCATCTGCACCACTTTACATTCCCACCAGGAGTGAATGACAGTTCTGATTTCTCCACCTCCTCACTATGTGTTGTGGATTTTTAAAACGTTGAATGCAGGATTTTTTTCCCCCAATGTCTCACAAAAAGAGAGAGATCAGAATCTTTGACAATAGCCCAGAACTAATCTGTTTGATTGGAACTTTATTGGTATGTTGCTTTAAAATTGAAAACCAGTGAGTGTTGAAAATCGAGAATGGATCTTTGCTATGGCAGGTGCAATGGAATGGTCATCCTCAAACTCTGCTGCTGCTAGGAGCTAAATTGGTAATACCATTCCAAATAGCAAATGAGCAAAATGTACCCAGAGCCTGAAAAATATGTATACCTGTTTCCCACTGATTCACTTCTGCGATTCTAGCCTAAAGAAATACTCATGATATGATCAAAGAATTTGCTTATAAGGATTTTCACCTAAGTGTTATTATAATTGAAAAATTTAAAAGCAATCTAAATGTCCAATAGTTTGGGAATGGTTAACTGAAGTACAGTACTTAAAGAAT